GTTCATTATTGTTACCCACGCGCGCTTTTTCTGCTCTATATTCAATCCCACGACAATAGATTCGCACATTGGTCATAGTCTCCTCCCGATGTATAGAAGTAGACTGATCTCATTTTCGCAAATTGGTCGCATTCCCAGAGGGACATAGTTGGACCCACCTTGCTCAAAGTCCTCTGTTATATTAATCATAATTCCCAGCATCATACCATGTACTTTGTTCATTACCATACGTTTTGCCGGCATTATCAGTGAGTCCTGCCATTCTCAGCACCAAGCTACAACTCATCAAAGAGTCAAGTGAAATCAATCATTTGACCAACTTTATACGGAAACGGTTGTGCTATCACTTCTCTTTCTGTCTTGGCCCATTTATCTACTCCTTACCCTCTTATCCCACTCCCGCCTTATCATAGCTTCTGATTTGTTTATATTCCATTCCTCAAGAGGCATCTCCTTTCTGGCGACTTTAGTTTGGCGTCATAACACCTGCTGTTTACCTTGTACCCTCTCTCCTCTCAAATTGCCTATCCGACTTAGGCCTCCTATTCGATTATCCCTCATAGGCCCGTAGATCTGTGTCTTATCTATCTGGTTGACTGATTTCAGTCCTAGTGTACGTTTTACTCCATGCTCTATTTCTCGAGCCCTTAGAAGGACATACGCTGTCGCCTCACCGAACAGATTGCCTAGTCTTTGATTCCCATGCTTGCAGATATTATACTTTGCCTTCACGGATCGTCTCCTTGATCCAAATCGTGTACCCTGAACAAACTGTGGACGTTTATCCCTAGTCGCTTATTGCATCTCGAGTGGATTGTTTAGTGTATCTTGGCCATAATCCCGAATTTCCATGACGGTTATGATTATTCGTTTCCCTCATGTGATTGCCAGGTCTCCAAAGTTGTAGTTGTTGCCTCGAGTCGATCACACTCACTAAGAACATCTTCGCTTGATTTCTAAAACTCCTTTACTCATTTCCTCCTTGCGATTCCTTTTCCTCTGGTTAACGACAGGTCCTTGATCCAGCCGTCTCCTTTTTGCTTGTCTTGTCGTATCATTGTTTAGTTAAGCAATAGGCAAAGTTAACAGTAACTCTATATTTTTCTAATCTCTTGTTTATTAAATTTATTTCAGTAAGGATGTTAATGGCCTCTAATCTTCCGTTTTCTTGTGTTTTCACCATACAGGGCCCTTCTTTCTGTTGCCTTCCAATTCATCTCGTGTCCTGTCTGTGTGATATGTTCCCTTATTTCTCATCTTTCGGCATCCATTTTCCTACAGAGCCTTTGTTGTCCCTTGCTTCGTACTCTAATTTTTCTCCCTGTTTCGCCAATATATTTCTGCTTGTAGACCCCGCATGCTATGCAGTAAACTCCTGATCAGTTCAATTTTTCCGCCCTCATGTTGCTTAAGGATTGTTGTTTTTTCCCTGCGTGGTCACTTTATTATTACATTTTCTTAATATTGGTCATAGTTTTTTATTTAGCTAACAGGAGGATAGGCATATCCACTTTTGCTAGTCTTTCTCCTTCCTTAGTATTCTTTCATAATCTCCATCCTGCTATCGGCTTTCACGGCCAGTTTATTTCTTTCTTCCACTTCCCTTGAGTATCTTTTGCCAAGGAGTGTCCTAGTTAACTTTTCCTATTCATCCCAGGATTCCACATCCGTTGATCATAGGCTTCCAATGATAATGCTCCTCAGTAATCCTATCTTAAGTCTGTAGTTGTGATTAGACCTGCATATTACTTCTTTCCGAGTGCCATCAGAGCGACTGACTTCAGGGAAGGTAAACGCCACTACTCCTCTACTTCTATCTTTAACTTGATTCTTTCATCAATCTGACTTTTGAACTTCAGGAAATCCCCCAATTTTTCTATTCCATGCGCCTAGAGGGCGAAGTAGTCATCCAAGTACCGCATAAGCACTTCTGGTTGAAGCAGTGATGTCTTGAAATTATCTTTTAGTTTGTTCATGTACACATTTGCCATTAGAGATGAGAGCGGCGATCCCACAGGAAGTCCAAATGTCTGTTGTCGCTGAATGTGAAGTAGATTGTCTTTATTGTCAAATTGATTAGTCGTGTTAACGACTCCCTCCTGAGCATCTGCTTCCGAGATATCCTCCTGTCGGTCAAAACTATCCAACAGGGCCTTTAGTGCCTTTTCTCTAGATATGTTTGTGTACGTATATTGTACATCAAAAATTGATAATAATTCTGTTTCTTCCATTTAAGAAAATTCATATAAATGCTACACTGTGTTTGATAATCTTTTGTTTGCTTACTTGATTGTCAAACATATGAATTCCGTCAATTTGTGTGTTGCTCCACACTTTTTGTTGTCTATCAGCCTTAGTGGTTTCTTTTCTTTTGTGTAGCTTCGTAATTCGTAGACGGATGGTGATCGTGCATTCTTTTTTATTAGCGAGTTTGTTGTACATTCATCGATCTTTTTGTTCTCATACCTATCTTTCAGCATGCCAACTAAGATTCCATTTAGTTTAATAGTTAGGTCCTTTTTATAGTACGCGATACGGGGTCCTGTCTCGCATTAAACATTCCGTTTTATCGGTATATTGTTTCCTGTCCATTATCACAGTCGCTCATCCTTTGTCCCCCTGAAGTGTCAATTGTCCATTTATTGCTAGGATCTTGCGTATCCTTGCAAATCTGTTTATTTGTGTTGATTCATCATGTGCCAAGATTCTTGGGATGATTCCTATCTCCGTTTCCCGTTTTGTTTCCTCAGGGAACTTTTCGGAGATATTGATGGCCTCCACTATAGTGTCTTCTAGAAGGTTTATGTAATTTTGAAGGGAAACTTTTAGTCCTTTATTGAGGATCGTAATGGCTTCCTGATCAAGAGGAAGCAAGGATAAATTCACAATCTTATTTTGATCGTCATATCGCTCACTATGTATCGTCACTCCAGATACTTCTTTAGCTGGGCGCTCTGGATTTTATCTACGTTGTCTTATAATCCCATACTTTAGTCATTTTTTGTCGTGTATTTTTATTATTAAGTCGGAGATCCTACTTGATTTCTTGTCGGCTATACTTTGGAGTTTTCGGAAATCTTCCCCAGCCAGAATCCTGGCCAGATCACGCCGGAGCTTTGACCTAATATCTATAAAACCCTTCATATCATAGGTTTCGCCTAACTTCTGAATGGAGGCCTGGTGAAGAATCTCATTAATTTTGTCTAAATGGTAGTATCCGCGGCCCGACGCTGGGAATTATGATAACTACCATAGAAAAGGCTTTCGGACAAGGAGCGTCCAACTAAATTGCCCTGACAACACGACCAATTTGCTAAAAAGAGGTCAGACCACTCCTTTTTAACGAATAGTCAAACCTGCTTCTCAACTTCACTTTGCTGCAATTTTTGATTTAAAAAAAAATGCTGCTACATGAATCATCATGATTCTTTTTAATCCAGCTTTTCTTTCAGAAAAAAGCATTTATTTCTGGGGGACGGTAAGCCTTTATTCATATTAGTTAGCGATTTGGGACACATTCAAAGTAACATATGCACTCAATCCTGTCTCTTTGATCTTGTATAATGTCCTGGTTCTGGCAAAATTGCTTTTTTACTATCACTATTATACAAGTACTAAATGCGCTTGTCAACTGAGCTCCTCTACCTTTATTTTTTCATGTTCTTTAAACAGATACAGTTGGACTATCCTGGACTGTTCATCCTGCTCCCTCCATCTTGGCTGGCTTTTCGAAGCAGTAAAATCTGACTTATTTCCACGCCGTTTCTGGGGCATTCGACGTGATTCGGTTATCGCTGCTTTTACCTACTCGACTGACTGGAAACCGACTATCTGACTGTTTCATTCGTTCCTTTTGCCAGCCGAGATTGCTAAATTTTCATTCCTATGCCTCCTTGCCACTTCATTTCCCTCGACTCATCCCACTTGTGCGCGGTTGACGGGATATAACTGCGTCAGTTCCAGTCATCATTGGATGCATTCCTTATACTCTGCCTTTGGCCCAATTTTATTTGCCGATCTGGCTCTCCCACCACCAACACCACACTTGCCTACTCTTATCCCTGATTCATTTAACGAATTTTATCTTTGACTTAAATCCTTGACTCAAAACCCATGTACCAATACCTTTTCCGATTTCTGCTTCTTTCGTTTCTAATAGAGTTTATGTTGTGCTTGATTTTTGCCCTCCCCCTTCAATTATACATCTTTTTGTTTTTGCATTCTCTTCTACATGACATACATCGACACACATCCAAGTATCGCAGTAAAATACAACTTATTCACTTTATGGAACATTTATCCCGCAAACGCGAACCCAACCTCTACTTGATTAAGTAATAGGCTATAGCCTGTGAACCACTATTTATCCTTTCAGAATCCTTCACACTGCTTCTGAATCGTTTTAAACGCATTATATATAAAAGGTGTTAAGCTTATGTAAGGACATTAATGATATCTATCATTTATTTGCTCTTGACAGACGTCACACTTTTTCCAGACCTCCGACTAACTGCTAAGTAGTCTTCATTGATTTTATTCAATTGACACTATTGTCAGAATTTTACACAAGTCACCTTGTTGCTCCATTTGTCATTTTTCCACCTTTCATCATCCTTATTATATATAGCATTAAATTTTATTCGCTCACATAATTTTCCATTAATCTCTTTTGTCATCTCTCTAGTACTCTGTAATTCATGTGTAGTTTATCTTTCATTCGACTCACTTGGTTGTTTTAAATTTTATTATCTTCATTTATCTCTTAATCTTTTAGATCTTGCATTTCGAATTTGAAAATTTTAAGCAGTTTATTATCGCTTTACCTCATATTCCCATGCATGCCTACAAATATGCATGAAAATGCATGCATATTTCTACATTTATAAGCCATTTCACGTGCGTGCATTCTCATTTACATAGAAATGTGCTTTGCAACTAATTTTATCTACTCAAAGATATGAAGACCAGAATGGTGTGGCCTTTTATATGGTCAAGATCTCTTTTCGTTGTATAGAAATTGTTTGACCTTGCTTTAGCAACTTGGTCGTATTTTCAGTGTGACCTAGAGGAGCGCACCTTGTCTGGATTCCATAGTATGCATGATAATTTCCATAGTCAGATCGTAGACTGTGTATTCCAAGACGTTTCGTCGGCATCGTCAGAGGGCCATACCATGCTTAGCACCACACTACCACTCGTCAAAGAGACAAGTGAAGTCGATCCTTTGACCAAATGTGTTCTCTCCTGTCCTGGGCTATTCACTTATCCTATATCCTCGTATCACTCCTTAAATATCACACTTTCTTACTTGTTTATCTAGACCTATTTTAAATATATTCACACTCTCCACTGGTTTCCTCATCCCTCCCACTGTGTAGGGAGTGTTGATCCGAAGCTGCTGTTTAATTTACAATCCTCTCTCATTGGGTCCTATCAGAGGATTGCGGATTCAACCACAGCCTTGGATCAACACTCCCGGTATAATGTGAAAGATGAAGAAACCAGTGGGGAGAATGAATAGATTTAAAATAGTTTTAGATAAACAAGTAAGAAAGTGTGATATTAAAGGGGCGATACGAGGATATAAGATAGGTGAATAGCCCAAGACAGAATGAGAGATGCCACAACTGTTTAGCACAAATTTGGTCAAAGGATCGACTTCTCTTGTCTTTTTGACAAGTTGTAGTGTTGTGTTAAGAATGGCAACGCTCAATGACGATGCCGGCGAAACGTTTGGGAATTTACCAAGTTCACGATCCGACTCTGGAAATTATCATTCATACTATGGACTCCGGACAAGGTGCGTTCCTCTAAGTCTTCCTGCCAATATAACCAAGTTGCGCAAACAGGGCCAAATAACTTTTATACGTTTATCTATTTAAGACTGGTCTACTGAGTGTTCTATATTAGCGCTTTGATATCTTCTACCGGTTCATTTATGAAGCTTTACCTTTTGCCTCCACCAGTTCAACTTTTTCAGTCCATTTGTACTTCTTTATGGAACAATTTTCTTAACTTCCTTAAGATGTTCATAATTTGCATTTGTTAGGCTTCCTTTTTTCCTATTTGGTTTCATTTTTAGTCTAATTAGCAATCCTTGACTCATCCTACATTCTCCCATCCTTATTTAGTACATAATCCCTAGCGACGAGTTAATCTTTCTATCTCTCCAAGGGTGGTTAATTTGCATGAATTAGGCCATCAAGAAGAGAATCCCTTTTGCCAGAGAGTTTGTTAAATAGTATCGCATGCCTTCATGTACCGAAATATAGGAGCTCGATGGCATCACTTCGGAGAACACTTACTAATTGTGAATGACGACTGTAACGATAACTGCAAAGTTGCACTGGTAATTACCGATTACTAAACAATTCGACATGTGCACATGACTAATTGAATAAAAACTTTTTTGAGTACAGGTACTTATTTTATGCCTAGTGAGATACTAAGATTCCCAC